CTCTGTGTATTACTTACTCCTGACCCCTGCACTCTGTGCATTACTTACTCCTGACCCCTGCACTCTAAATGTTACTTCCTCCTTACCCTGTGTTACTTACTCCTGACCCCTGCACTCTGTGTGTTACTTACTCCTGACCCCTGAACTCTGTGTATTACTTACTCCTGACCCCTGCACTCTGTGCATTACTTACTCCTGACCCCTGCACTCTAAATGTTACTTCCTCCTTACCCTGTGTTACTTACTCCTGACCCCTGCACTCTGTGTGTTACTTACTCCTGACCCCTGAACTCTGTGTATTACTTACTCCTGACCCCTGCACTCTGTGCATTACTTACTCCTGACCCCTGCACTCTAAATGTTACTTCCTCCTTACCCTGTGTTACTTACTCCTGACCCCTGCACTCTGAGTGTTATTTCCTCCTGACCCCCGTACTCTGTAAGTTACTTCCTTCTGACCCCTGCACTCTGTATGTTACTTAATCCTGACCCCTACTTTCTGAGTGCTACTTCCACCTGACTACCACACTCTGTATGTTACTTCCTTCTGTCCCCTGCACTCTGTATGTTACTTACATACATTACATTACTTACATTACATACTCCTGACCCATGCACACTGTCTGTTACTTACTCACCCCTGCACTCTGTGTATTACTTCATTCTGACCCCAGGACTCTGTGTGTTACTTACTCCTGACCCCTGCACTCTGTACATTACATACTCCTGACCCCTGCACTCTGTACATTACATACTCCTGACCCCTGCACTCTGTACATTACATACTCCTGACCCCTGCACTCTGTACATTACATACTCCTGACCCCTGCACTCTGTACATTACATACTCCTGACCCCTGCACCCTGTACATTACATACTCCTGACCCCTGAACTCTGTACATTACATACTCCTGACCCCTGCACCCTGTACATTACATACTCCTGACCCCTGAACTCTGTACATTACATACTTCTGACCCCTGAACTCTGTACATTACATACTCCTGACCCCTGCACCCTGTACATTACAGCTGATGAGATCTCTTACAATGGACGCTACATACTTCTGACCCCTGAACTCTGTACATTACATACTCCTGACCCCTGGTTCTAGGTACAGGCGCAAAAAAGCAATTTTTAATCATCGGTTAGAATACTGAACGATGCAGCGCATGCCGTATCGATTGAAAATACAATGTATCATAAATTATCTATTGATCACGATCATTTAATCAATCTGTGGTCTGATCGGTTGTCTGACACACAGATATCAGTTTGATTAAGCAGAAACAATTGCCATTGCGGAACTCGATCCCAAGCCAAATCATTGACATGGAGGATCTGTATCTTCCAACGCTTATTCAGTTTGATCACCATTGTCTCAGCGAATGAGTGAATGATGATATTGACACATATGTGGCCACCTTAAGTGATATTAAAGTCAAAAGGATTTTAATCTATTTCAAATGCTGATGAGATCTCTTACAATGGACGCTGCTCCTTGATGTTTAAAAGTTTTAGGTTTCCTGCAGAATCAGCTGTTCCCCTGAGCTCTGGCCCTGACTTCCTGTTTTAGAGTGACTCCTTTCTCAAGCAGAGTGCTATGGAGCCACCCCTGTGTGTGTTAGTAAGCTGTGTGTGTCTTCACAAACACACAGGCACAGCAAATTGAGCTACTCCCCTTCCTCCTGCTCCCTCTCCTCCCTTCTCCAGTCTAGTAGATGAACAGTTGCTGGAGTCTGCACTGTCCTTTGTGATATGGTACTGGACACGAAGTTCAGGGAAGCCAAGCTGGAACTTGACTGGCCTACACAGAGACCTGAACTCAACCCCATAGAACACCTTTGGGATGAATTAGAGCGGAGACTGCGAGCCCCTCCCCCAACATCAGTTACCTGACCTCACAAATGGTACAACATTCCCATAGACACACTCCTAAATCTTGTGGACACCTTCCAAAAGAGTTGAAGCTGTCATAGCAGCAAAGGGCGGAGCCAACCCAATACTGAACCCTACGGACTATGACTGGGATGCCATAAGAGTTCATGTGCATGTAAAGGCGTCCCAATACCTTTGGCAATATAGTGTATAGGAGTATACTGTATAGATAGAAGTAAATCTGACTAAATAATAATATAAATAATAAATATACAATTTATATACAGGTGAAACTCGAATAATTAGAATATCGTGCAAAGTTCATTTATTTCACTAATGCAACTTATGCGGTGAAACTAATATATGAGAGAGACTCATTACATGCAAAGCAAGATAGTTCAAGCCGTGATTTGTCATCATTGTGATGATTATGGCTTACAGCTCATGAAAACCCCAAGAACCCCAAATCCACAACCTCAAAAAAGTAGATTATTCCATGCAATCAATAAAACAAGGATTGTACATAGAACAATATCGGACCTCTGAAAAGTACAAGCATGCATATGTACTCAGTACTTGGTTTGGGCCCCTTTTGCAGCAATTACTGCAATTACTTTTGCACAATATTCTAATTATTCGAGTTTCACCTGTATATATTTAAATGAAATAAACTAAATAGATTCACACAAAGACACGCCCTTAAATACATTTATAAAATGACCGTTTTTTTCCAACGAAATTTTACTTAAGCAGCTCACTGAGCAAAATTGAGAATATCGGGTTGAATAAAATTTGGATCTCGCAGATCAGTTTGGCCAAAATCACTCCGCCTATCCCCAATTATACAGGAAATCTTACAGGTTTCTTCGCTATACTGTACTATTATTGATGATCTCTTTGGCCTCGTGGTGTTGGCGGCCTGTGGTGTTCACAAAGTCGTCATGGCTTAAAGGAGAACTATGAGGGGGGTGCTTTTCACTCACCTCATAGTTCTAGCTGACCATGCCATAGTTCTCCTTTAAAGGAACACACCAAATCTTTCTGTATTTGGGTCTATCACATAGATCAGGGGAAGGCAACTTCGGCACTCCAGCTGCGTGGAAACTACAAATTCCTTCATGCTTCTGGGAGTCCTACATCAGAGCCTTGCAGTGCCTCGTGGGACCTGTTGTTCCACATTAGCCGGAGTGCCGAGGTCGCCCACCCCTGATATAGATTTTTACAATCTCCAGTTACTACGTCTGTGTCCTTTTTCTTTGCTCTCACTCTCTCTCGTGCCGACAACCCTTTCCAGACGCAACCGCTCCCCACTTGATGGAGAAAGATTTATCACAAGCACACCCAGCAGGGAAAAAAAACGATGACGTCTAAGATCGTGGGACACCTGACATGCATTTACAATGCGTTTTCTGGAGTTCAATGCCATTGATCCACAGCTGTTGCTTATAAATAAAGTTGTTGTTTTTTTTTTTTTGCTTCCCAAGGTCGTTGCGGTAGAAACACCTCGAACGCATGTTAAACACATTGCATTCGTGTTTCCGTAGGGCAGACTGTGCCTAGAAAATGTCAATGCAACTCAATGCAACACAAAAGAAACGCTACTAAGCCATTCTACATTGCAGAGCGCGATTCGTTGCAAAGCTCAACCATTGCCATCTTGCAGGAAAAACATTTGCAGACCCATGTGACCCATGTAAGGAAGCCCTGGTAACCTTAAACATCTTGGCAGCCTATGTGGGGTAAAGCCTTCGCCCCTCACATACCGCCAAGTGCGTGCATTGTAGGAACGGGAAGAGTAATTGCGCCAGGAAACTGTCTCAATTTCGCTTATTGAGCACTTTAGGTGAAATTTGGGTGCAAACAAATTAAAGGAGAACTATGAGATGAGTGATTTCCACTCACCTCATAGTTCTAAGCTGACCTGTGACAATGAGACTGTCACAGGTCGGCTCAGTAGATATCTTTCTTTCTGTGAAAAAAAGTAAATAACGAGACTAACAAGGGTCCATTCGGACATTTGGACACATCAGAATTTCCGAATCCCAGTGCATCCGAATGCGTCCAAATCCAAATGTCCGTTTCCGAATTTTCTGATCCCGTCCGAATTTCGTTCAAAAACTAAACTGAACCGGACATGTGACTTTTCTGGCCAATCAGATGTGTTTTTCGGTTTAATGCAGAATGGGTCAGAATACGAATTTTCGTTACGGCAGCATGGAAGCCACATACAGTATTTACATATAATACTAAAGCTGAAGCTCCCAGACCCGAATGGCATTCCAGATCTGAATTTCCAAATTGAATTTGGGAGCTCCCAAATTCAATTTGGAAATTCAGATCTGGAATGCCATTCGGGTCTGGGAGCCATATACATATGTTTCTAAAGCTGAGGCTCCCAGACCCCAATGGCATTTGGGAGCTCCCAAATTCAATTTGGAAATTCAGATCTGGAATGCCATTCGGGTCTGGGAGCCTCAGCTTTAGTATCAATATCTGTATATGGTTTTCTGTGGTACTCGTACCGAATATCCATTCGTAAACATCCGAAACTAACGAAATTCGGATATCGTCCGAATCCGAAACCCGAACCGAATTGAATTTCGGATCCAAATCCCGAAAAATATCCAAACCAAACCGAATTTTTCCGCAGCTTACGTGTCTACCAACAATCACCTTGATTTCACCTTCCACATTGACTCTCGGTGTATTACGCCAAAATGTAACTGTAAATTTTGACCGAAATTTCAGAAGGATGAATATTTTCGGTCTCGCCCACCTCTAGTGCTTTGGAGGACGACTACCACTTGAAAAAATTGCTGTCAGAACTTGAGAAGCCAATTGTAAGGTATGGAAAAGAGACAAAGGACTGTGCTTGATGGAAGCCGTGTGAGAGCCCTTGAAGAAAGACTTGGCTGGTCCAATGTAATGTCATCGGGAAACTCAACTACTATTCTTAATAAAGCCCGAGCCTGTTATAGAGGCGGAGGGGCGGGAGGACATAGTCCTTATGCACAGCTTCCAAAATGCTTCCTTTTTCCCCCAATCCTGCTGCAAAAAAATGACAACTGGGATTGTGTTGCTGAGGGCAAAACAGACGGGATTTATGAGCAGATATACTCACTGCCGTCGTCGGAGTCGTAGCTGTCCAGGTCGGCGGAGTCGGTCTCCAGCTCTGGCACCTGGGGACGTATGTCCAGCGGGGCGAGGGCGTGCGGCGGCCCGGTGGGAGAGGAGGCGCCCTCCGGCCATGGGCTGTACCTGGGGAAGTAGTCGGAGATCTGCTGGATGGGTCGGATGGGTCCCGGGCACACGTTGATGGCCATGTGCTCCTGGATACTGATGGGCACCTTGTCGCCTCGCCGTACTGTCATCGGCGTTCCTGCGAACAGAGACAAAGAGAGTCAGGGATGACATCACAACAATGTGATAATTATTACAATACAACCCTAGAGGAGGAAGCAGAGGGGTAGTAAAATGTCAAAATAATTATCACGCACCAAGTGAAGAGGATGCAAAGCCGCGGTATTGAATCCAGCGGATTGTGAGCAAAAAGTACAAAGGAATGAATGAAGTGCAATAGGTAGTAGGGGGATCTGCTGCTTGCAGTGCAGAGGGCAGCAGAGGATCTATTGAGTAATGTGCAGAAAGTGTTAAGGAATCTGGTGCATCGAATGCAGCACCTGGTAGGGACCCCTAAACAGAGCTGAGCAGGTATTAGGGGGATCTTCTACTAAGCAGTGCACAGCTCCCAGAAAGGATGAAATAGATCCATAAGGGGATCATCAACTAGTAGAGAACCTGTGGATAAAGTACAGTAAGTAGTCGTGGGTCGCAAATAGGTCGGAAAATCCATTGCACTCAATAGGGATCCAGTGGAAAAAGTATATGGGGATCTACGTGAGAGTCTGTAGCAGGTAGAACAGATCAATGCATTCAATGGATAAAGTACTGCTGTCATTAGAGATCCAGTGCATAGAGTGTAGGGGGCTAGTAGGAATGTACTGAATCAAGTGTAAAAGGTAGCAGGGATTTATCCAATAGAATGTAGCAGACAGTAGGGATCCAACATATAGGGTGCAGTCCGTAGGGTACAGCAGGTGTTAGGAATGCAGCAAGTAGTAGGGATTGATTTGGTAAAATGTTGCCTTGTAGTCGGAATCCTGCGGGTAGAGTGCAGCAGGTGGTCGATCTAGTCGGTAGAGTGTTGCAGGTAGTGTGGTTCCAACTGGTAGATTACAGCAGGTATTATGGCTCATGCTAGTAGAGTGCAGCAGGTGGTGGGGATCTATTGGGTTTAGTGCAGCAGGTGGTGGGGATCCAGGGGAGTTTAGTGCAGCAGGTGGTGGGGAATCATTGGGTTTAGTGCAGCAGGTGGTGGGGATCCATTGGGTTTAGTGCAGCAGGTGGTGGGGATCCAGGGGGTATAGTTCAGCAGGTGGTGGGGATCCAGGGGGGTATAGTTCAGCAGGTGGTGGGGATCCATTGGGTTTACTGCAGCAGGTGGTGGGGATCCATTAGGTTTAGTGCAGCAGGTGGTGGGGAACCACGGGGTATAGTTCAGCAGGTGGTGGGGACCCAGGGGGGTATAGTTCAGCAGGTGGTGGGGATCCATCGGGTTTACTGCAGCAGGTGGTGGGGATCCATTAGGTTTAGTGCAGCAGGTGGTGGGGAACCACGGGGTATAGTTCAGCAGGTGGTGGGGATCCATTGGGTATAGTGCAGCAGGTGGTGGGGATCCAGGGGGTATAGTTCAGCAGGTGGTGGGGATCCAGGGGGGTATAGTTCAGCAGGTGGTGGGGATCCATTGGGTTTACTGCAGCAGGTGGTGGGGATCCATTAGGTTTAGTGCAGCAGGTGGTGGGGAACCACGGGGTATAGTTCAGCAGGTGGTGGGGACCCAGGGGGGTATAGTTCAGCAGGTGGTGGGGATCCATCGGGTTTACTGCAGCAGGTGGTGGGGATCCATTAGGTTTAGTGCAGCAGGTGGTGGGGAACCACGGGGTATAGTTCAGCAGGTGGTGGGGATCCATTGGGTATAGTGCAGCAGGTGGTGGGGATCCATCGGGTATACTGCAGCAGGTGGTGGGGATCCATTGGGTTTAGTGCAGCAGGTGGTGGGAATCCATTGGGTTTAGTGCAGCAGGTGGTGGGAATCTATTGGGTTAGTGCAGCAGGTGGTGGGAATGTATTGGGTATAGTGCAGCAGGTGGTAGGGATCCACGGGGTATAGTGCAGCAGGTGGTGGGGATCCATTGGGTTTAGTGCAGCAGGTGGTGGGGATCCAGGGGGTATAGTGCAGCAGGTGGTGGGGATCCAGGGGGTATAGTGCAGCAGGTGGTGGGGATCCAGGGGGTATAGTGCAGCAGGTGGTAGGGATCAAGCTGGTAGAGTGCAGCAAGTGGTAGGGATCCAGTGGTAGTATGGTAAAGAAGAGAAGGTTTATTTGGTGCAGCAGTAAACCCCGGGACACGTCTATCCTGTCGGCCATGGAACAGTCACGTCCTGCTACAGTGACCATTAAAATTGTGATAACCGTCCATGTGCCTCCACTACGGGAGCCCACCACATGCACGGCACAGCGTCTCTCCGCCAACTTCCACCACCACCAGCACTGCGCAACCTCACCAACCTGTTCTTCCCGTGGAGCATCACCACCGTAACTTGGAGGAAAACCGCCGACCCTTTCCGTGCCAGCCAACCATACCGCTTTAACCCCATCCTGGCTCACAACTGAAACCTGCGGAATACCCCCCATTTGTACCCTTCCATTGGTCCCGGAAAGAGCTCAGGATGGTTCGCATTGCCCCCCGTTAACCCTTTCCACGCAGCCAAATGGACTCACCTGTCAGCGTGGCTCTTTGAAGGCAGCAGCAGGGCTCCTGAGGGACGGAGGCAGAGAGCGGAGAAGAGCGGAGGACGGAGAGCGACGGCTGGATCGCCAATGATGCTGCTTCTCTCCCTGACTGCTGTGTCTCTCAGCAGGGGAAGGAGGGAGGGAGAGCGGGAGAGAGGTGGAGACAAAGAAAGAGCAAATGAATAGAGGGGGGGAAAAAAGAAGGAAAGAGTGTAGACAGAGGTGAAGGAAAACAATTGCAAGATAACTCAGACACCACCAACCGTCCGCTGCCTTAACCACTTGATGCTTGGACGCCGTTCAATGCAATGCGGGCGCTCCATCCAGACGCATCAATCTGCCTGGACACTTATTGTCAGGGCGGGCAGCATCACGCCGGGGCTCTGCTGCCTGCAACCCTCTCCTCTCATTCTCCCCCAATGTTACATCTATTAAAAAAAAACAATTTAGTTACAAAGACACAAAATAATGCATTTCATTCACGGGATGCTGCTGTTACTTATCGATGTGATTATTTACTGAGAACCCCCGAGAACAAGATCAATATTAAGATTAAAAAGAAAAAGCTAATTTAGAAAAATAAATCAGCAAATGAAACACAAACAACAAAGAAATAGATGGATGGATAATATAGATAGATAGATAGATAGATAGATAGATAGATAGATAGATAGATAGATAGATAGATAGATAGATAGATAGATAGATAGATAGATAGATAGATAATATAGATGCTACAAAACAATGTTTATACTTAAAAAAAAAAAAGTGTATGGAAGAGAAAGGTAGAACAGATGGGGGGAGGAAGATGAAAGGAAGGATAGAAGGAAGGGAAGGAGGAAGATAGAATTGGAGAAAAGAGGAAAGGGAGGAGTGGGAGGAAGAAAGATAAAAATGAAGGATAGAAGGGAGGAAGGAAGGTTAGGAGGGGTGGGGGAAAGGAAGGAAAGAAGGTAGAAAGGGAGGAAGAGGGGAGGAAGGATGAAAGAAAGTTGGAAGGAAGATGGGAGGAAGAATGAAAAGAAGAAAGCAGGAAGGAGGGATTAAAGGAAAAAAAGAAAGGCAGGAACAGGAGGAAGGAAGATAAAAAGAAGAATGGGAGGGAGGAAAATGAAAGAAAGGTTTGAAGGAAAGGAGCAAAGGATGGGCGAGAGGAAGAAAGGTCAAGAGGAAAGAAAGAAGGGGGGGAGGGAGGAAGAAGATGCAAGGAAGGTAGGATAAAGGAAGGAAGATTGGAGGAATGATGAAAAAGAGGGGATGAAGGAAGGAAGATGGAGAGAGGAAGGAAAGAAGAAAGACGTAGGGAAGAAATAAAAGGAAAGAAGATGGAAATAAGGATGAAAGGAAGGAAGGATGGAAGGAATGGAAGAAAGTAGGAAGGGAAGACTGAAGGATCGAGGGAAGATAGGAAGTAGGTTTAGAGGAAAGAAGGATGGAAGGAGCATGGGAAGAAGGAAGGAAAGAGGAAAGAAGGGAAGTGTGGATATAAAAAAAGGATGAATAGAAGAAAGAATAAAGGAAGGAAGTTTCATGAGGCTTTATTCCCACACAAGTAGATTTTCTCAGTAGATACAGTAAATGTTTTGGACTCAGTATTGTGGTGTTCTGTACATATGACCCAACAGTAACATCAGCTTCACTGTGTTGGCTTTATTGTTTTTTGATGTACAAAGTTCTCTGCCAAACACCTCTCATACTTCATCACAGGTATGATCCCCCCACACTTTATCTCAGGTATGATCCTCCCACACTTCATCTCAGGTATGATCCTCCCACTCTTCATCTCAGGTATGATCCTCCCACTCTTCATCTCAGGTATGATCCTCCCACACTTCATCTCAGGTATGATCCTCCCACACTTCATCTCAGGTATGATCCTCCCACACTTCATCTCAGGTATGATCCTCCCACACTTCATCTCAGGTATGATCCTCCCACACTTCATCTCAGGTATGATCCTCTCATACTCCATCTCAGGTATGATCCCCCCATATCTCAGGTATGATCCCCCCATATCTCAGGTATGATCCTCCCACTCTTCATCTCAGGTATATTATAACCAGGGTAGTTGCACTAGGATATATTGTTGAAGAATTAACCAGCTGCAGCAATGTCTATCAATGTGATCAAGTGTGGGCCGGTGTGCTGCGCTTGGTTTTGTGTGTTCCACCTATTAATTTAAATATAAAATGTATAAAAATGTAAGAAATGTGTAAAATCACAACCTGAATTAAAACACGTGAGTGCCGGTGATCAAATCCTCATTACAAAACCAAGCGCAGCACACCGGCCCACACTTCATCTCAGGTATGATCACCCCACACTTCATCTCAGGTATGATCCCCCCACACTTTATCTCAGGTATGATCCTCTCATATCTCAGGTATGATCCTCCCATGCTTCATCTCAGGAATGACCCCCCCATATCTCAGGTATGATCCCCCCACACTTGATCTCAGGTATGATCCTCCCACAATTCATCTCAGGTATGATCCTCCCACACTTCATCTCAGGTATGGTCCTCCCACACTTCATCTCAGGTATGATCCTCCCACACTTCATCTAAGCTATGATCCTCCCACACTTCATCTCAGGTATGATCCTCCCACACTTCATCTCAGGTAAGATCCCCCACACTTCATCTCAGGTATGATCCTCCCACACTTCATCTCAGGTATGATCCTCCCATTCTCAGATATGATCCTCCTTTATCTCAGGTATGATCCTCCCATACTTTATCTCAGGTATGATCCTCCCATACTTTATCTCAGGTATGATCCTCCTTTATCTCAGGTATGATCTTCCCACACTTCATCTCAGGAATGATCCCCGCATATCTCACGTATGATCCTGCCATACGTCATCCCAGGAATAATCCAGGTAAATGCCTGTACTTACACGGCACATATTGTAGAACACAGCTCTGCGTTGCTCGTCATATGTATGAGGTCTGGGGGGGGATATGGCCACAGCCGCCTGTTCTTGTCATGCAGCCTAACAATGTCGAATAACCTTATTATTTGCCTTTAAATAGCAGATGAGCTCTGGAACCTTTCATTCCATAACTCTCCTCCGTAACAAGAGGAGAGACGGCCACTTAACTTTACCTGTGACACCGGATTTCCTGCAGAATTTAATAAACACACTTCATCTCAGGTATGATCCTCTCATACTCCATCTCAGGTATGATCCCCCCATATCTCAGGTATGATCCCCCCATATCTCAGGTATGATCCTCCCACTCTTCATCTCAGGTATATTATAACCAGGGTAGTTGCACTAGGATATATTGTTGAAGAATTAACCAGCTGCAGCAATGTCTATCAATGTGATCAAGTGTGGGCCGGTGTGCTGCGCTTGGTTTTGTGTGTTCCACCTATTAATTTAAATATAAAATGTATAAAAATGTAAGAAATGTGTAAAATCACAACCTGAATTAAAACACGTGAGTGCCGGTGATCAAATCCTCATTACAAAACCAAGCGCAGCACACCGGCCCACACTTCATCTCAGGTATGATCACCCCACACTTCATCTCAGGTATGATCCCCCCACACTTTATCTCAGGTATGATCCTCTCATATCTCAGGTATGATCCTCCCATGCTTCATCTCAGGAATGACCCCCCCATATCTCAGGTATGATCCCCCCACACTTGATCTCAGGTATGATCCTCCCACAATTCATCTCAGGTATGATCCTCCCACACTTCATCTCAGGTATGGTCCTCCCACACTTCATCTCAGGTATGATCCTCCCACACTTCATCTAAGGTATGATCCTCCCACACTTCATCTCAGGTATGATCCTCCCACACTTCATCTCAGGTAAGAGCCCCCACACTTCATCTCAGGTATGATCCTCCCACACTTCATCTCAGGTATGATCCTCCCACACTTCATCTCAGGTATGATCCTCCCACACTTCATCTCAGGTAAGATCCCCCACACTTCATCTCAGGTATGATCCTCCCACACTTCATCTCAGGTATGATCCTCCCACACTTCATCTCAGGTAAGATCCCCCACACTTCATCTCAGGTATGATCCTCCCACACTTCATCTCAGGTATGATCCTCCCATTCTCAGATATGATCCTCCTTTATCTCAGGTATGATCCTCCCATACTTTATCTCAGGTATGATCCTCCCATACTTTATCTCAGGTATGATCCTCCTTTATCTCAGGTATGATCTTCCCACACTTCATCTCAGGAATGATCCCCGCATATCTCACGTATGATCCTGCCATACGTCATCCCAGGAATAATCCAGGTAAATGCCTGTACTTACACGGCACATATTGTAGAACACAGCTCTGCGTTGCTCGTCATATGTATGAGGTCTGGGGGGGGATATGGCCACAGCCGCCTGTTCTTGTCATGCAGCCTAACAATGTCGAATAACCTTATTATTTGCCTTTAAATAGCAGATGAGCTCTGGAACCTTTCATTCCATAACTCTCCTCCGTAACAAGAGGAGAGACGGCCACTTAACTTTACCTGTGACACCGGATTTCCTGCAGAATTTAATAATCCCCCCCCCCCCCTAATAAAGTTAGAAGACACCAGGCTTTTAAATCTTTTCAATCCCTTTCCTCGCTGTAATACCAGAGTGTAATAGGAGAGCGAAGAATCATCTCTCTGCCAGAACGGAGGGGGAGCAGGAAGCCTGCGTAGGTGAATAAGCCGGGATTTTTCTCTGAGGGAGGTTTGGGAATTTATCTCTGACGTGATCCTCTTCCTTCCTCAGCAATGAACCCAATGATGCCACAAACGTTTGAGCTCGGGAGGCGTTTCATGGGTTAAAGGTCCAGAGATACAATATAAATGCCGGAACCAGCTCACCCTCCATATGCTGTCATTGGGGATGGATCCCGGGGTACACCTCCACATTGTCAGGTTTGGAACCACAGGTTGATCAGGACAGCCGGAATATCAAACAGAATCCTACATTAGAATATGATTAAAACATTAGGAGGCAGGCGCAATGAAACGCGCTCCTCTGGGTGACGCATGTATTTATTTGATAAAGACCTGAGTGTTCGAAACGCGTCAACCAGAGGAGCATTTTTTTTTTTTGCACCTGCCTGGCATTGTTCTTAAACAGATTCTGATACCGGATTTTGTTTTGTATTTCGGC